AGACCATAGAGACTAAGGAAAACCTGTCAGGTTGTTTGAAGGACATGCGGCAGGAGTGACGGACGGACAGACAGACAGACAGAGAGACAGATAGATAGATAGATAGACAGACAGACAGACAGACAGACAGACAGACAGACAGACAGACAGACAGACAGACAGACAGACAGACAGACAGACAGACAGACAGATAGATAGATAGATAGATAGATAGATAGATAGATAGATAGATAGATAGATAGATAGATAGATAGATAGATAGATAGATAGATAGATAGATAGATAGATAGATAGATAGATAGATGGATGAAAGTACAGATCTATGGTAATAGACAAATTATTCAAAGAGGAATTGATTAGAGATTTGAAAAGGAATGCAGAGGAATATACAACAAATTTTGATAAACAAAGGAACCAAAATAATGAACTAAAAATGTAGTTCACAGACTACAGGGGAACTATGAAATCTGAAAGACAAAAGAAGCTAAAAAAAAAAAAAAGCTATAAGGAAAATAACTATTGGTTATTGGTTCTTAATGAGATAACATGTCGTATCAGCTTTGCAATAGTAAAGAGAACTGCTGAATATGGGACATGACAAAATTATGTTACAATAATTTTCATCAAAATTAAAGAGTTTAATCTCCTTTTCTGAATATATACCGGTAAGCCTAACTTTGCAGCATTCAGAGCGGAACTACATCTGCAATATTATGCTAATTATTGTGTAATTATTAATGACAATCAAGACATGTTTCCATTTAGAAGACGTTGACAGAACAACATTTTCTTTTTAAGTTTTAACTTAATTTGAATTTAAATCTAAAATAAATTCAAAACTTTCCTTTTACATGTAATAGTAGAGAACTTTTAGATCGTTGTCTTCAACTTTAATTGCAATGGCCACAATTAAAGCTTGTGATAGGATGATGTTGTCTCATCCACAGCCTCATTGTTGATACTATTTTGACTTTCATTGAATTTTGAACTTCCTGATTATGTCCTCAAGGTTCTGTCTTATTTGGTGGATTTGTGTGTTAGTTGCTTGGTTCATTCTTCTGTTCTTTGTGTGTTTACATTGTTCTCCATTAGATTTTTGTCTGGGGATTCATGTTTCTTTTTTCACCTCCTGCCATGTCAATGTCAGGTTGTGTGGAGGTTTTTAAAGGACCCAAATGCAGAGATGGAAGCTGAGGTGGTCTCTTGCAGATTTAATGAGGAGTAGTGGCCAAACAAGCATAAATTCAAAAAATAACTGATCAAGGAACACATGGATTAAGGAGGGAATGAAGAGAATCAGGCAAACAACAACTGCAGAGGAGGAATATAAATGCCAAACATAACAAATAATGGAGTAATCAGCTGATTGGGAGCAGGTGTGGACAATAGGATCTAGAGGGGAGCTAAGGGGGGAGGAGACTGACACAAGGGGGCAACAGAGTGTAAACAAGAAGTATGTAAGAACTCATATACAATCAGAAAACTACTAGAATGACATGAAATAATAAATTATTTTCTCATTGATTTATTTTTTTTCCAGGTGTGTTTTTTTGTTTTGCTCCATTATCTATGAAATAAAACTTGATCTTGATTATGCTCAACCCATGATCCTATCTGTGCTTTTGTCTTTTTCAAAGCTCACACATCACAATAGTTTCATATTTTATTGTTTTTTTCTTTTCTTTTTCTTTTTTTTTTTTTTTTTTATACAGTCTGCGTCCCAACCAATTATCCCAAGTTTAAAATGGGAAATAAGTATATATTTACTTTTTGGGTTATTTATGAAAACCTGTTTATGAAACCTAAAACTCATGTCATAGAAATATTTCCTTTTTTCTTTTTTTAGAGCATTATAATAAAAAATCTTCAATTTTTTGTCTTTCATTGAAGGAAGGGTTTTTGGACAGGTTAATCCCAGTTAGTCTAATGCTAGAAACACCCTATTACTCCAGGATAACTTCGCCCACGTCTGAGTTTTGTTGCTAAACATTCGTAGTCTCCACACTTTTTTTTTCAACTTCATAACAAGACAATTGGCACCAGTCTAAGCAGAGATGAAGATGACTCTGGATCTAATAATTTCATCTAATCGCCATTTAATACTTCAAAATGAAATGCCAAAACAGGCTCAGAACCTGCAATGTTGATGTTTGGCTAAAAAAAATGCCAAAGTGCACTTCTTAAAAAAAAAAAAAAAATAAGAAGAAAGTGTCCCCCTTTAGCATGAACCCAACTACTTTTTGCAAGCAGAGTAAATAAACTAATTTCACAAAGTTTATAATTAGAAGACTTATCTTTCATGAAGATAAAGCTAATAATGAATGAAACGTCTTCATGAATTAATTCTTCAACCTAATTATATGGATCAGTGAAATGCTAAACAAATTTAAAAATCTAAACTTTCAGTGTAAGCAAAAACATGAAAAGTGAGTAATCAACCATCAAAGGAGCTGTTTTCTCTTTTGTTAGGTCCACATTGAGAACCTTCTGGATGCTAAATATGGAATTTATAGACGTTGCTTTGTCTGATGTATTAATATTGATTGCAAACACAGTTCCCTGACACTTTAACAAAAATTGTTGGGGAAAAAAAAAATCCCACAGATTCAGAGATTTTAGTACATTTTACTCGCATTCATTCTTAGTTGATTCCATCACCAAGCAGGGCTGTATGAGTATGACATGTAGAATATGACATGTAGAAAGGAAACACAGGTATTCAAGGGTCTTGCAGGTACCTGAGAGCCATTTTAAAGATGAGCCTTTTAATTTTCGCCTCTCATCTGAGGCCTGTGCTTCGATATGCCTTTTTAACCAGGCTCCTTTGTTGAGCCATAACATTACTTGCCAACAGCCCCCTGCACCTCCCTCAGCAAACCCGCTGCCGTTTGGAATAACAGATGAATAAATGGATGAGGGGGGAAAAAACAGTAGAGTGAAACCACAGTGGAACTCAGCAATGGTCAGCCAGGCCCACCACGCCTCAGCAAATGTTTGTCCAAACCTGTTATTTCTGGCATTGTACTGTCTCAAAGAGATCATTTCATTCTCCATAAGGAATGCGGCGGGCTATAAATAGCCTGTAGATGAAGGAGGGGAAATCAGAGATTTGTAGACTAATTACAGAGCTGGAGTTGAACCCTTCTGTTATGGTTCATTTTTCATCAACCTCTGTCTCCATGTCTGTCTGACTGACTGACCAACAGTGGCAAACTGGACATTTTCTCAAAGGGACAGAAACATCCCATCCGATTTCTGATATCTTCTCTGAGCCGATCGAATCATAAAAATTAAATAATCAAGCAAACAGCTTTTAAACTAATAATCTTCTGAAATGAAACAATAAAAGGATGTAAATGAAGGCATGTATGACACACCCTTCTCAGTTTGCTGTGATACATTCACCCTCCAGTGGGGAAAAACTGAAGGTTGCTGACAAGCAGAGATTGAGTCCAAATGAGGGCAGCAATGGTGGGAAACGGTACTGTCAGACTAGAAAAACTAGTAAAGCAGTATTATTAGCAGGATTGTGCTGCTGCTTTGTGCTGTGAGTTAATTATTGGCATTGCTGTGTTAAAACATGGTCATTTTCTGGCTGATGCAAAGAATCTTTGATGGTTTTTGTGCACTTTCTCGAGGGGGAAAAAAAGGAAAAAGGTTATGGCCTGGAGTTTAAATCAGTTTTTGTTATTTTTTGGTTAACATTTTTATTAGAAATCAGAGAAGTCTAAGATCCAGGGGATTTTTTCTAGTTCTCAGGAAATATTCAAAGCAATAATTTTATATTATGAAGCATGTTAGCATATTATGATATCTTTTCTCTTATTAAAGTCGTATTATCAAACATTTAACAATAAGAGGACACAATACTGACCCTTTTTAAACTTTACTGAAACCACACACATACTGAGAATGATTTAAATGACTGTGGAGATGTCGCCCCCTTGTGGATTAAGGAAGAACTGTTTACAGCAAAGTTAGCTACCGGTATATGCCTGGGATGAATATAATTTGTAGATATTGGTGTTTTTTATTATAGTAACAACAAAAAATGTGATAAAAAAATGCCTTTTATGAGCGTTTTTTCGCAGGAATTGGGGGGATTTTGTATATCTGTGTTCCTATTTGTATCTAAATCGAACTGAGCAGCTTTTAATTGTTCATTTTAATGTTTCTGATAACTCTAAGTAAAAAGTGCCTGCAGTTTTCAGCTACAAGTTATGTTCACAGTCCACAATAATCTTTGATAACCTTTAGGGGTCTGTCCCCTGAAGGCTTGCAGAGAAATTTCAGTGTCCTTAGTGCAAATATCAGGAATCTTTTACAAAAGGTGAGTGACATCCTTTATAGCTTTTAAGGAAGTCCCCCTAGTAGCTAATAAAAAATATTTTATAAAACTTGTAATAACCGCTAGAATCTCCAAGATATATTTATGTTTTTTTTTTGTTTTTTTTTATTCATCATTGTCTTTGAATTAAAAGAAAAAAGTGATACAGACTGATAAATCCTTTAAATAATAATAAATATATAATACATATTTCATTCTAGATTTTTGTAAATATAGATTTCATAAACAACCATGATTGTTTTATAGAAGATCCAATTACATAATTGTGCATACTGTAATATAATATATATATATATATATATATATATATATATATATATATATATATATATATATATATATATATATATATATATATATATATATATATATATATATATATATATATATATATATATATATACATACACATCTTTCTCTACAGATGGTTATAGTCAAGTTCTTTAAAGGATATCTAGAACTTTCATACATTTAGGAACTTTTCAGATAATTTAAACAGAAAATCCTTCTTAAATCCTACATAAAAGCTTGTAACAACTTTACAAACACTCTATAAATTCCTTTGCTTCTCCTGTTTTAACGGTAACAATAATAAAGTATTGTTTCCAGGGTTACGCTGAGGTTCCATGGTTACTTCCTGATGAAGGTCATAGCTCAGGGGTCACCGGCGGAGTTCGGAGCGGCAGATGAACAAAGCAGGGCAGTAAAACCTCAGCAGGCCGGCTTTTAACTCAAAATTCTGGTCCGAACAAATTTTAAGGAAGCAGAAATTATTGAATTGAGTGCGGGTATGGAGGTGGAAAATCAAAATTCGGTAGGTAAAAATTTCCTCGCTAAGTAGCTAACTGTTCAACTAGCTAGCAGTTGTAAACTTGTAAACGTTTGTGACGTTGGGTTTTTAAGATTGGGAGTTATAAACGTTACTTTCTGTTGTAATTATGCTGTAATTACTCTTTCAATCCATTTTATTTTCCAAAGTGAAGTTTAAACGTTTTTTTCTTTTTTATTGTTTTTTTTTGTAAGTGCTAGCTTGTTTTTCAAGTGCTAGCTTGCTATCTCGGTCAAGCTAACGCGCAATATGCTTATTAAAAGAGTCTATAAATTTAGCATTTAAGAAAAGTTATTTCATCGTAATAATATATAAAATACATTTTTTTTGCTAATTTTTTATGTGATAAAAGTCATCAAGTTTAAATTATGAAGTTTGTAACTGATGTGTTCCATGTAAACATTCCACCCATAGAGGATATTGCACTGTAATCCAGAAATGAAACTTTGCAAAAACATCTTAAGTGCTTAGGAGGATTTTCCCTTTTTTTTTTTTTTTTTTTTTTAAACGCGCCCTCTTCAATAAAAAAAAATAAATGCACATGGACAACCCTGTACCCGATAGGGAAGGCCTAATAAACGTGCGCTTCCACGAGCCCATTTCTCCTCGTGCACGCTTTGTTTACAAGTTGCTGTTGCATCACTGGCTTTATTAATTCACTGGATAACTTATAGGACGTTATCAGCAATCCACCAGCCGCCATATTGGTACTCCCTAGTAAGACCAGTTGGCATGTGAACAGTATGTACAGCATCGAACAATGATGATGTTCTCATTTTCAGGGGGGCTTAAGACTTTTAAAATAAAGATAAATTCATTACTTTAACACACACTTGCTGTTACATAACATCAGTAGATTACTGTAATTTATGGTTAAAAAAATAAGCACATCACATTGCATAGTTAGTATGAAGTCAATAAATCATGTAATATAACATATACAAATCCATCACAGCAAAATAAGTGTGTTAATAGAGAATAATACTGTAGTCAAATATTAAGAATATTACACACACACACACTATCTGATGTTGTGCAAAAAGTGCTAAATTGATGATGTACATGTAATATACATGTATTGATTCCATTGTTATGGTAATTACATTACACTCTGTGAGAGTGTAGAGTACCAAGATGGCGGCAGGTGACTTCAGTTTTTTCAGCAAGCCAGTGAATAAATAGAGATCAGTGGTTTGCATCGCTCATACGAGCTTGCTTTCCAAAAGAAGAAAGGCGATCTTCAATGACTGGCTGAAACCGGTGCTCACCACACATATACACCTGGAAGTGTGCAGCAAAAGGATGGCCTTAGGTAACATATCACCAGAATCATTGACGATTATTATTATTTTTGATGATTCACCTGGAAAAAAGAACATCCTCCACTATACATTTTATTAAAAAATACTTTGAGAATAACTTTTTAGATTGAGTTTTATATATCAATGTTTTATTGTAGTTTAAAGATCAACATTTCCTTTTTTAAATTTTAAACACAATAAAGATGCCCACTCTTGACATACATGCACCTTGACCAATCAAAATATTGTTGCTAAGATCCATAGTGACCACTAAAAATGCATCATCGTTCCTCACCCAGTAAGAAAGCCCACCTAATGTTATTTACCAAACCCAGATGGAAAAGAATACAGTACATAAAACGTTCTTAAAAACAGAAATTTGAACAAAAAAAGGTAAATCTGTAAAAAAAAAACAAGAGCAAAGTTTAATCAAATAAAATTTCATAAGTAAATAAAAAAAATTCAAAACCTTTTTTTGACTAAGAGGTTTTTCAAAGTTTCATTTTGTGATTCTCTTTTAGTCAAATTTCCTTTTTGCAAGATATGTTCTTTGTTTACAACAATAATGGCACAAAATTGATATATATTTGACCAAATACAGTCTATATAGAGAGAAATATAGATATATATTTTAGGAAAAAAGCAACAATGTTTTATTATACCACCTTGAACTTTTTATTAAAGCCTCCCCATCAAAGATTATCTATATTTATTTAAATAATAACTGTCCCTTTATTAAAACCAGGTTCTAATCAGACGCTAGCTTCAATGTTTTATAAAATAGGTATTTAGTCTGATAATATATATCTGGTTTTAAACTACATCTTAATGAGATGGAGGTTTTTGTTCTTAGTTTTAAAAAAAGATTCATTTTTTTCATACTGTTTTATTAATTGGACTTTACTAAGTTTAAAAGAGTGTTTAAAGGATACCTGCTTTATGTTATTTACTGATTTCAATAATCTAACTTAGTGTTGCTTTTAAAGCTTGCATCCAGCGATTCGCTGCATGATGACAGCAGCTCTTCTTCAGAAGCCTTAATCCAAGAGAGCCCTCTGGAGAGGTTTACTTACCTCTCACCCATCCCCTGCACCATCATTCCCAATCGGATTTTTGTCGGGAGAATGGACCACAGGGTGAGATTTTTAAAAATGTCCCACTGTATGTTTTAAATGTAGGGTGGATTTCAGCTAAATATGTCAATATATCCTGTGTAAATGAATGTCGTTTTGTGTTTTAAGGTCAATGAAAGCAACCTGCATCAGATTTTCTTCAAATACGGTGCGGTGAAAGATGTTAAGATAGTGAAAGATGGCTTGGGAATCTCTAAAAGGTTACTAACTAACATCCTTTTTTTTTTTTTTTTTTTTCATTTGAGCGTAGTTTAAAGTAGTTTGCTGTTTAAATCCCAAACTTCCAACTGTTTATTTGAACAGATACGGGTTTGTTACCTTTGAAACCCAAGAAGATGTGTTGCGAATCCTCAATAATGTAAGTAGAGTGGCCTATCTGCAGTGCACGCGTCGCAGGCTGCGTTTCTGAGTTTAATCTTGTTTCTCCTGCTTCATCAAAAGGCTAACGGAATCTGTTTCAATGGAAGGAAGCTCTGCATTAGCCAGGCTTATAGAAAGTTTCGCGTTTCAAGACAAGGTATGCTGAACTGTGGCCTTTGATTTGTTTATTTATTTGTTTTACTTTTCATTTCCGATAATATTTTTCTCTTTCCCCAAGCTAACAGCGGCTATGCGGCTCACCACGAACGCGCCGATCCTCATCAGATGTCCTGTGGGACTTTTTATCTGACCCCATTCACAGGACAGCCCTACACCTACTATAAGGGCATGGCCTATTTCCACTGCCCCAGCATGAACCCCTCGGCTAATGAGTGGTCGGTAAGTACCTGCAGGGATTCTGATTGATTGAAATGCAAACTAAATAATAATCCTTCAGCTTTTTAAAATGTTCATTTTTCAACCAAAAGGTTAAACGTATGTTAAACCTTTACACCATTTTTGATAAAATGGTGTAAAGTTCAGCAGCTGTATAAAGACACACGGTAACGACTTGGTGGAAGATGTTTGTTACAATATGGCGACCCAAGGAAGCAATACAGCTGATATCGCTTCTACAAGACTATCACCCAGAGCTATCTGCTAATTTTATGGAAAAGTTTATGTTGTGTTGAAATAAACAAGAAACCTTTAGTGTCAGGCATTAGTGAAAGAAATAACCCCGGTGTTACTGAGGCATAAAGCTTGGATACAAATGTGTGTTTGATTAGTTTTAAATGAAAATTGAAAATATAGAATTCCTTTTTAAAAATGTAGACGTGCACTTTGTGTATGCTTGTTCACACTTGTAATTTCCATAGCTGTTATGTGCCTGTAACGATTTCTACAACTGCTGAAAATTATAATTATGAGTGTGCGCCAAAGATGACGAAATTATTTCGTTGACGGTCCTTTTTTTCATGAAGATAATGAGAACTGACGAGCTAAACATGGATCTTTGATGACGAAAAGATAACAAATCATTGGTGTGAGTTTTGTGTTGATGGGACAAGACTGAACAAAAAGGTTAGCTGAGGGTCTGTCAGACATTTAAAATGTACAGTTGTGTTGTGATCTGCTAAACAGTACCAGCTGTGCTGCGGCGTCCTGTTTGGTCACGCTGGGCACCTGACATGCAGCGGTGAAAATGGTCCTGGAATAGTCCGGTACTGCGTGCTCAACTCTGACAAACTCTGCTCTTCCAGCTGTGCTTTTACAGAAATGTGTCTTTGCATGCATGTACTTCAGAGTCTGCGCAGATTCTCGGATTAGCGAACCAGGGTCCGGATCTGGACCCACCAGCTGGCTAATCTGGACCCAACCTGATTTCAAACATTTATAAATTACTGCATGTTGTCCGGACCTTTACTGGTTGTTGATTTTCTTTATTTGGACCCTGCTGATTTTTAATTGTTACCTCTGTTCTAAAGCATGCCTTTAGCTGAACGAGCGACCCAATCAGAGCAGTTATTATACCAAAATTGTAAAAACAAAACCGAAACACTTTGCATTTAAGGCAAAAGAACATTTTCGTCTGTCACTATGCTCTAGCCAGAATGCCTCAAGGGGAAAAGTTTGAGTTTCACTTGGTTTTACTTTAATTTCGTAAAAGAAAAAAGTCTTCTTTAAAGAACCTTTGGCTATCTGATTATTAATTGATTAATTGAAAAAATAATCAGCAAATTAATTGATTTGCAAAATAATGGTTAGTTGCAGCCCTAATACATAGATCTTTAAGCATTTCTCTCTCATAGTTCTTGTTTCTATCTACTCATTACGATGTAAATTAGGGATGCGTGATGTAATCGGCGCCCTATCGGTATCGGACTGTATCGGCCTTAAAACTGAATATCGGACATCGGCCACCCCACCGATATTTAACCCGATATTTGATCAGCTTCTGAGTTTCTAAAGTCTAAAAAAAAAAAAAAAACATACTACTACTTCTTCCTCAAAAACTTCTTTATTACAGACTTAAAAACTTCTAAAGACGAGGGAAAAAATATTGATACATTAAAATATCACAATATCTTCATATGCTGATATATTACCATTTAAAAACACCATATCAATCTCTTTTACTAATGAAATATTGCTATATGTCATCGTTATGCTACGAAATCCCCCGAAAATCCACGAAATTTTGCCATATTTTTATATGTTGATATATTGACGCGGTATCGATCTATTTTACTAACAAAATCTCACAAGAATTTGCAAAATATCACGAGAGTTTGTAACAGAACGATGAAATTTCACGAGATTTTGAAAATAAAATGGATCAATACCGTGTTTTTAAAAATCAATTTGATATCAGCATATGAAAATATATTTGAGTATATTATTTTTAAAAGTGTCAGAAATGAAAATTTCAATGACTACTTATTTTTGTCCAGCTTTAACATCGGTATGGATATTGGCTACATGAGTTTTAAAACATCGGCATATTGGATATCGGCCAAAATACCAATATCGTGCATCCCTAATGTAAATGTTTCCTTTTATTGTCATTAAAACATTTTCTCTGTTTCTTTTGAATATTTCAACATTTTGGTCTGGATTGGCATGGCATTAAATGGCAATTATGTAGGTTTTCTATGTGTAGTTTTATGTTAGACCCCTATGCATTTAAATCTAGTTTGACCCCTGAGCAGCATTAACAAAGGGACTAATTTTTAGAAATAAATAAATGAATCAAAGTTAAACTGAAAACTTGAACAGAACCAAAAAGTCATGACACCAGCAATTGTAGTATTTAGGCAAGAGCGTTCAGTCTGGGAAAGAATCTGGTTGTTATTCGAAATTGTAAAGGTTAATCTTTTTATGAAGTGCAACATAAAACAGACTAAAACTAGAGTAAAACCTTTTTAAGTTTTAGTCGACTACAACTAGATTAAAACTATCGCATATCGTAACTAAAATATGACAAAAAATAATAATAGTTTTCAACCTGAAGACAAAAACTGAGACTAAAATCCAAGATGGCTGTCAAAAACAACACTGATTAGATCAGCCCACAATTCAGCAAGCAGTTTCTTTCTTTTTGTTCAGATATGTCCGATGTGGAGCTGTAATCATTGTACTATGAAACCGTGACATTTTTAGCTTAAAGTTGCCTTCATACTGGCTCAGGCCAACTTACCATAATGTTTCCTTGCTGCATGGTAATTTATGGAAAGTATATGGAAGTGATTTTTTCTTTTTTGCAGCCGCCTTCTCAGCTGATGCTGCCTCCGTCCCACCAGCCCTTCCACCCCCTGCAGCCGCCCGTCTATCTCCACTGCCAGGTTGTGATACAACTTAATTAATTAAATGTCCTTATTAATCAGGATAGCATTTTATTTCTTTCCTTTTTTTTTTTTTACCCGCTTCCACAGGATGCCCCTAACCAGTATCAGTGGAATATTGGTCAGGTTTGTGAAACCTCTTTTTTTATTTCTGTTTTGTTTTTCATCCATGTCACTACTTGTTGACCCTTTTCTTATGGTTTTCATCCAGGTGCCAGCACCTTTCGGTGCACCGATGTACCAACAGCAGCCAGAATATCTTTACCAGCCTTTTGACGGGAGCTGTTACCTGCCTCCTGGGCCCGCCATGGAAGGCAGTACCCCGGAGGTACAGGTTATTGAAGAGAAAGCAATGTTACACTCACTTCATTAAAGATAAACTTGTGCCTGTCTTTTGTTAATATGTTATAAGACTAATATATCCGTCTGTTTTCAGTTTTTTGAGCTGACGGCGCCACATTTCTACTCAGGAATGACACCCATTCCTCTGCAGCCTAACCCTAGAGAGGTGAACAGCTTTATTACTTTAACAAATGCTTTCAAGGTGTGATGCAGATAATGAATAGAGAACCTACAGACAATGATGTTAAAACTTCCTGGAACTCTGTCTTCCTTTTCTTCTCTGAACCGTTTTCTGCGCTTTACCTCCACAGAACCAGCCGTTCTCCCCTTCATGTGTCCACCGGAAGCCAAAGTACCGACGCCACATGCACCCCAAATACTACTACCACCTGCCCCAGCCCACAGAGACGCCTGCTACTTCCGTATTTCCTGTCCCAGCTCCTCATGTAGGATAAAGACTTGAAACGTTCACCCTCTCAGGCAGATCAACCCCAGATTACTCACTGAGATTTCAGCTCCATCCTGCTTCTTTTTCTATAAGCTCATATTTGCAGCAAAACTGTCATTTGATGACATTTCTTTTTCTCTCTCCGCTAAACCTGCTTCTGATCTACACATTGGGGTCAAAGTTTACAGAATTCATGTCATTAGAAGATCTTTTATGTGAGGAACAAACACTGCAATAGTGGTTCATCCTGACGCCTTTTCATGTTTCATGGCAGAGTTGAAACATCTGCTTTAAAGTGCACTAAGCTTTTCTCTTTTTAGATATCGCATCAGTGTATCTAAGTATCCAGTGGATCCATGGTTGAATGTAGAGAGGAGACGCTTTACCCAATTCATGTTTTATGTCCTTGGAGCCTTGAACGCATACTTCAGAGTTTTAGGACGTTTATTTGTTGGGTTTTTCAGGGATTGGGTCTCCATATTGATTCTTTAAGCAGGGTACCTATGCAGTTTTAATATCATGGAGCTGTTTTTCCAGGATGGAACATAGAGGAAAAATCCTAATTCCTACTTCTAACCTCTACGTTTTATCTGAGTTCCTCCAAACAAACATAAGTGCCCCCAATCAACCTGTTTTGGAGATTTTAAACAAGAAGGTTCATTTATCCCTGCATCCATCCACCTATCATCTATCCACCATTTATGACATCATTAGAGCCCAGCGTAGGAGCCATGCTTAAAGGATTGCTTTAGTACCTGATGACCATGGAGGAAACAAGAGGAAAAAAAGGAAAAAGCAGCATGATAGGACCAAATGATGACTGTTGGTCCGTTGACTTTGGAAGAAAAATTACTGCTGAGAAATGTTTTTAAGCTCTCAGGAAATAATCACTCCTTTTCTACCTAGCAGTGTGGTGTAGTTCTGTTTTTCATGTACAGAGCCAGGATTTATCCGGTGAGTAAACCCCAGTAGACACATTTTAAAAGAGCAAAAGGAACAAACAAATAAAGCTTTAGTTCTTATTCCTGTTAGTTTTAGGGTTATTAAAAAAATAAATAAAAAAAGATGCTCCGTTTGTTTTCTCCAGTAGTTTAGTTTTTCATGTTTAAGCTATTGTTTTTTTTCTTCCTATTTTAAAATTTAAAATAGCTTAAATTATTTTATGCTTATTTTCTCTTCAGATTCAATAGTATATTTGCTCTGAGAGGTTTTATTTTGTAAGGGATTTGAGATTTTAATTGGTGTAAGCTATTTTACAAACATTTCTATTGTTTTCACAGCACTGTATTTTTCTGTGCTTATCCTCAGAGGGAAGCCCAACTCTTTTTGTTTTGTGACACTGTTAAAACCTAACTGACAATCTTTTGTGTGAATGTTTCATATTGTAAAAGAGATGTACAACATATATTTGAGATGTAACTAATTGGTATTTCTAATACCCTATATTTTAAAAAACAATTGTTTTCCTCTAAACATTGTTATAGTTCAATATGTTTGTGTTTTCTATACAAATAAATCCTCTGTGTGGTGTTCCATAAATCCCAGGTTTGGTGTGTTTTTTTCCTTATTTGGTTTAACTGTTGAAAGAAAAGGAATGGTTAGATGTTTTAGATCATTTACTTTAGAATATATTAGTTTTGTGAAAAGTATTTGCCCCCTTTGAGCTTTTTTTTTGTTGCTTTTCTTAAGTGGCTTAGATTAGCAAACAAGTTTTGATATTATGAGGGATAAAAATGCATCGTTCAGATGATGATAAGGAAAGAAAGCTGTCTAACCTAACCTACTATGGTACATTTCTTAAATCATGAATGTTTGGATTTGATAGATGCATTTTTGTTTAATCAACTCAATCAAAACAAACCTAATGTCTCTGATTTCAAAAAGGAATACAATATGATATTAAAAGCTCTAAGAGAAATATTTCAAAAGTCAGGTTAAGTTCAGTAACCAACATTTGATGCTATTTGCTCTGTTTTCACCCAATTATGAAATGAGTTTTAGGCTAACTTCTAAAACAATAAAGAAAAGGTGAATTAGTTGTTTCAATCTACTGGTTTGGAGTGGATTAACCCCACAAGGCAAAGCATAAATTTTGTCAGGAGTTCACAATATCCACAAATGTAATAAATACGAAGTAAAATTTGCAAACCTGCATAGAACACACACAGAAGGCAAAAGGAAAGAGTGGTTTTCAGGAATATGCTGCTATATAAGTTGTAACTGTTTTATCTTAACTGGAGATGTAGAGTAAAGTTCTATTCTAATGCAAATCTGAGAAGACGCCAACAATGGGAACAGCTGATCGGTCACATAAAATAAAAGTTTGCTACATCAGAACTTATTTTGGAAACATTTAACATTTCCTTTTAAATGCATTAACTACTTTTTTTGGAGGGGTGACAAAAAAACAAGCGATTTTAAAGACTTAATGGACACAGCTATTATGTAATAATTAAGAACACATGAACCTTCCAAAGAGTGGTCGACCTACTGTACCAAAGCTACTATTAAGAGTACATCAAAACTCATCCAAGAGGTGATGAAGGAATCATAGCAACATTTAAAGGCTTTCAGACAGGAGCTGCAACAGTGAGGGTCTGACTTCATGATCTGACAATAAGGGTAAAAAAAGGCATTAATGGGAGAGTTCCACCCTCATCCACAGTTGACAAAAAGACAACAAAGGTCTGTCTCACATCAGTAAACTGTTGCAAATGATGGACATAACAATTATACGTAATGGAAAAAATAATTTTTGGTCATCAGATCGCACTTCTGCATCACTCAAAAAAATTAGTATTAGTATTTTAGAAGGCATTTAGCCTTCTAAAGTTATCCTAAATACTATGAAATAAAATAAAAACAGCTTCCCTTTTTTTGCCTGAATGTACCTTAAATAAATATAAAATAAATGTCATTGTTAAAGCATTTGTGTGTGATAATAAGGTTGGTAATCTGCCAGCAGAGGCAGGGCAATGACGAATCAGGGTTTTATCTGTATGAATGAATCAAATACCTTGGCAGCGTGGCAAAAGCGCTTCATGCTCGGAATCACAACAACAAAAGACAGAGTCTCGTGACATTTGATTCCAGCTTCATAAAACAGATTTTTCTGGGACTCACTGGCGTTTTACACAGCTTTACTCAAAAACAATTGCTGCAAATGTTCACTAAACGTCAGTGAGGTCCCCAAAAAGCATGGATCCATAAGTGGGAAATACTGTCAGGCTGCTGGCTTCTTTCAATCAGTTTATCATCTTTAACATAAATTTAAAAGTAAAGCAAATTGGATTGTTAAAAATTGTTCAAAACACAAGAATTAAAGCAACAGAGCACGATTTTTATCCAAACATACTAAAGCAGATGACAATGTAAAGACAAAGGTGGCATAAATAGTGGTCAAAATTAGTATTTGACTTCTGGTCATTCTACCCATTAATACAGTAATTATAGTTGGAGTGCTATTGTGCGATTCACTTTACCTTTTTGTCACTTTGTTTCTCAATTATTCCCCCTATGTTCATGATAAGCCTACATTTTAGCTTTTGTAGCCATTGGGTTGTTAACAGTCATTAGTCTAGTCACTGCTCACAATAGTTAACAAAGTCCTTTCAAGCTCCAGCTTCTGACTGGATTTAAAGAGTTCTGTTAAAAAAAAAAAAAAAAGCTTGTCTGCTCCTCGTTTACTTTGTAAACATCTCAAGCGATACTTCTACCACACTTTGAACAGAAGTTGAGCTGTGGCTAGTCAGTGGGTGAGTCGAATTTTGGTTCTTCTTAATGTGCTGTAAAGAAACTGCAACACATTTTTTAAATTATCTTCACCTTTTTAGCGATAATGTTCACTATAGAATCAATATATTGACTTTAGAGTCCCTGATTAAAAGCAGCCAATCAGACATCAGGGTTTCTATGGAAGCAGCTCTAGTCCCGTTTCCTTGACTTTGATGGATGGGTGACAGTTCCTTTCATCCTTGGTGTGCTTCCACACTAAAACAACATTATTTTTAAAATCAAAAAATAATTATATTGACTTCTGAACATAAAATTTATATATTTAAATGAGGCCCATATTATCCATCATCAACCCATCCATCCACCTTCTCCTGCTTAGTCCCTGTCAGGGTCGCGGTGGGGCCTGTTCCTATCTCTGGAAGACTATGGACGAGAGGCAGGATACAACCTGGAAATGTTGCCAATCTGTTGCAGGGCAACACAGAGACATACAAAGACACACACACTCATGCCTAAGGAGAATTTAGAGAAACCAATTAACCGTCATGTTTTTGGACTGGGGGAGGAAGCCGGAGTACCCGGAGAGAACCCACGCATGCTCAGGGAGAACATGCAAACTCCAAGCAGAAAGACCCGTGCCAGGAATAGAACCCGGAACCTTCTTGCTGCAAGGCAACAGTGCTACACACTGGACCACCGTGCAGCCTAATTATTCATCATATATTTATTTATTTCCAGTTTGAATACTTTATACCCATCATACAGCAATTTCTTTTTTAATCACTGGAAAGATGATACAAACAAGTGCTACAAATAGAAACATGCAACACTATTGCTGACAACTACAAAACTAGTGATGATTAGCCCACATTTCTATGACTTTCTTTAGCTTTAAAAAATATCCCCAACACTCCTGTTGAAAACTACCAACACGATCACTATATTTTCTATCAGGTTTGGCAACTAAAGTCCAGATAGAATTAATCCAACTGGGGAAATATGTGGTAGGCCTGCATAGTCATAGTCTTAACAGTTGAAATATCTTACCTACCAAGCAATCTTTTGCAAGTGCAGGGCTCCAACCACTGACGATATTGTTGATTGTGATGTCATTTTATGGAGCTCTGATTTATGTTAATGCCTTTCCTTTTTAGGTCAATAACTTCTAGGTTCAGACTTCAGTATTCTCAAACCAGTGTTTTTTTGGTAGAATTTAACTGATCAATACCCTCTATTCCCCAAGAAAAGACCAAAACATATTTGTGGTTTTTAATGATATGGATCTTAGGATCTGTGCTGAGGTAAAGCAATCACTGGAAAAACAAGAAAGCTAACCACTGCGGTGGTTTTGACTCTGCTGAAACTGTGAAGGCTGGCCTTGGGGTAACCATTCTCCTGTTGTACTGTTAATCAATTGTGATGAACATGTGAAAACTGAACAACAAAAAGCCATCATCGCACTGCAGGGCAACGCTATACATAACCAGATTTGCGTTGTAAAACTAATTTGGATGACAATACTTTATGCTGTGCCATCACACAGCTACTTTATATAAAAGGACAACGCTCCAGGGAGCATCTATTGAGCCTCAGTCTGGACTCCACTAATATGACTATGGGCAAGGTGAGTTTATTGCATGTTGTTGAAACAGAGAATAAGACATTTTCTTTGAAATATATTTTTATATAGCGAGAGTAAATCATTTTTGCAGATCGTATTCTACGAGGACAGAAATTTCCAGGGTCGCCACCATGAGTGCATGAGCGACTGCGCCGACTTGCACCCCTACTTCAACCGCTGCAATTCCATTAAAGTAGAGAGCGGCTGTTTCATGGTGTACGACAGGCCCCACTACCTTGGCCATCAGTACTTCCTGCGTAGAGGGGAGTACTCCGACAACCAGCGCATGATTGGCATCAATGACTGCATCCGCTCTTGCCGCATGATTCCCATGGTAAGAAATCAATGGAAATTGATTAATGATCCATCTGTGTAGCCTGCAGAAAATAGACTCACAAGTCTTCCTTCTACAGCACCGTGGGTCCTACAAAATAAAGCTGTACGAGCGTCCAGACTTGGGCGGCCAGATGCACGAGATCAGCGACGACTGCCCCAACGTCCAGGACCGCCTACGGATGTCCGACATTAACTCGTGCAGCGTGGTAGATGGCCACTGGCTGCTGTACGACCAGCCAAACTACAAGGGAAGGACCTACTACCTGAGACCTGGCGAGTACCGCAGATACAGCGACTGGGGCGGTGCCAGCCCAAGGATCGGCTCTCTCAGGCGAATCACTGACTTCAACTAAGAAACTTGTTCCTCCATCTGTTCCTAATAAACAAGCTTGACCTAAACTGAGTATTTCCTTTTTTTTTATGTCGTTCTTGAGCAGAAATTTCATAGTTTCAAGGGAAATAAGAGAACTTCAATTAGGATAATTTGCTTTGTTTACAGTATTTTTAACACTTTACGCATTCCCTTTCTCACGTTGTGATAACATCTGATGAATCCCACACTGGGAGTACAGAAGATACTGACACCCACAGTAATGAGGATGCTAACATAGAGGAAGTAGCCAATCGTGTTGCAGCATCAAAATGGAATGGTAGACATTAGTTGCCTCTATTAGCTGGCATTAAGATTCTGGGAGTTCATAGACCATCATCTAATGAGATCCTTAGAGCAGCAAGAAAGATTTCTCTCATCATCTGCATCTACTGTGAAACAATGACTTTAGCTTGTTTGGTCTTAACATTGGGATCATAAGGAAGGTTATTAAATCGTATTCGGCATTGGAAGTCTAGGTAGCCAAGGTAGTCCATGAAGGTGGGTCTTTCCTCACCAAAAATTAATTGTCAGAGTTTAAAAGGCTACTTTGGATCAAGTTAAGCACTTGCTTAATGTCTCGTTTTGGTGAAATGATTAAAAAAAAACTTTAAAAAAGACCCATCAAAACAAACATCTTCACTTTCCCCGTCATGTTGGCTACATTTGGTCCTACTGTAGAGGTAGCCATGGGCTCTCTGCTACTTTTATAACCCACAAATGACCTGTAGCATTGTGATGCATGACACTGACTGGACTTGTCAGCTTTTTTTTAGACACCTTGTCCAACAACGTTTTTCTGCTTTGAACTAAATGTTTTCAACAATCAGGCTACCATAAAACTTAAAGCAATCTCCAAGGACTCAATTAGATTTAACTAGAAAGGTGCAACTAAAAACTCATTCTCAGAATTGTAAATTTTTGTTTCGGACATCTTTAAAGCTGATGCTTTTTTTTTTGATAATCTCTTTTTCTAAATTAATACAGAGATAATGACCAATAACAGTAATAGAATTTCTAAATTTTATTAGAACCATGTGGCATTCATCAGATGGAGTTTAAGATTTTAAAAGCCTCATTTTAACACTCAGAGCACATCAACCCCAGTTCTGTGCAAAAGCAGTCCTCGGTTGCCTTTTATAACAGCAACAATTCCCAAATTGTTATTCACTTGGTGTCAGCATGTCAACAGCTTGTTGTTGGATAGCATCCAGCTTGTTGGTTCTTGCTTTTGTGTGATTGAAATCCCCCATATTGTGATCCTCTCTCTGGGCTAAGCTCTAGAAAAGTTATTTTTCAATACAGTCTGCATGTGACACATTATATGCACTAGAGCAGAGTTGGCAGCATCAAGTGTAAACTGCTGATCTAAACATGCATCTGAGCTTTAATATGTATTATAAATATGTTTTATGAAAAGGCACCTTGGAAAACGCATGCACTAATGAACTACAGTGTGTGCTGCATTTTTCTGCTGAATTGTTTTTGTTATAAAAACTAAATAAGCAGGTAAATAAAAGGTAAAACTCTAAATAATAATCAGTTTGACCTTTGTCATGCTGTATAAAAAAAAATCTAAAATGAAGTGAATGTGGAGGATGAGAAAATGTTGAAGGTTATCAATTTAAATTACCCTTGTTCAAAATACTTGGATACAATGTTTAAATATATAATTTTATTATCTATCTGTCCATAATTTCTGTTTTTTTTTTTGTTTTTTAGGAAATACGATTGTGAGAAAGTGGGGAAAACATGCAATATTTCATCGGGCAAGACTCAAATCTGTTACTGTAGCAATTAAGAGTAAGGCCTATGGGATGCATGCTTAACCCCTGAACTACTTTCTGAAACCTTATTTTCAATTCAGCTTAAACCAAAGTCTTGGTTTAAGCGGGAAACAAGTCTTTAGATATGCGCTGTAAAACAGTTGAAAGATTAACGATACAACAAACAAAGTAAAACCGATAAAATACAAAAGTTAAGCAAAAAAAAAAAATATATTGAAATCCAAACCTAATATAAAATATCCAACCAACAGATTTAAGACAATGGAGAAAAGGTTGCTAAAAAAAAAAAAAACTGGTATAGACCAGGAGAAAATATTAAAAATATCCAAGATCATCATAAAAAAAACACAGAAGCAGGAGAAACATTTTTCATCCCATTGGAGCTTTTTTTTTTACAAAAAAAAGGGGGTGCTCTTAGCTGAAGGTTGTGCTTGTGTAAAGAACAGGTCCTGCTGATAGGGGGGTCAAAAGGTGTTTGTTCAACTTCATAGGTGATGAACAGGGTATCGAATACAATCAAAACAGACTCCCAATAAGGACAGATCACCATAAGGTGAATTCTGTGCAAGATACCCAGCTAGGTTGCTATTACAGTTATCAGATTCCTATCCTAAGAGAGTTGGCTGCTCTAGAAACTTGGTTATGGTCTATTGCACATTCTGGTCAAAATTTACACAAGTATATTTTATGGTCAAATAATATCAAACAAGGGAAGAGGTTTCTGGATATATTTAGGAGCTATAATGACAATCTGTCATGATCTTGGCACTGATGACTGTCTTAATTACTCATTCCATTCACTTGTCTAACTCTGCCCGGTTTCTAATCACTGCTCATCTGATCCACCTGCCTCTGTTTAAGGTGCTTGCTCCCAGTCTTCCGGGCCAGATTATTCTTGAGCCTTTGGTGGGAGACTTTTCTAGTTTTACCTGTAGTGTTCTGCTTGCCTAATCCTGACCCATTTCTGTCTTTTTAGGTTGCTTGCCCCTCTTCTGATCTGTTTGCCTGACCTGTCTTCAGATTCTGTTGGATTCTATGTTGGACTGAACCTGGATCTGCCTCTTTACTTCGCCTTCTGGATTATCCTGCCTTCCTCCGTTGTCTGCTTGGATCTGATCTCCCTTCAGTTTTGTGTCTTGTCAGCTGACCGGCTGGTATCAAACTCGTTCACTGGGCACTGAACTCTAAACAAGGTGAGTGACTCACCTCTCCAGATCATCCTCTGTCAGATTTTCTTGGTAGCTAACCTGTGTTTCCTCTCGCTAGAGTTACCTTCCTCATATGCTGCACAGCCCAAAAACTGTTTGTTGTTGCTTTAATAAATGCTTTTTAAGTTATCCCACTGTCTGACTTACTGGGTCCCTCTCTTCTGAGTCATTACATAATATTTGTCTTGATTAAGTTCTTCTTAAAAATGAAAAGCTATTTTTCAAGCTATGTTTTTCATCTGCTATAAATATCTACATTCCTACCCGTATGTTTCTTTTGATCTAAAGCTAGGAATCATATGCATAGCAGTTAAAATCAATGCAATGTTTCCTGATATATGTCAGAGAAGTATATAGAATAAGCACAGGGCTTATCCCAGCTCAGAACCTTTTCGAGTACTTAACTACCTCTAGAAGGAGTGCTTGACATGTTTTCAACCACAAAATCATTGATTCTGGTAGACAATTAAAACACTTTTCAGTAGATTTTATTGGTTTTGCTCTGTTGTATCGCACTATTAACAAGAGATTGCTACAACCTCAAATCACACACAGGAATTGTATTGTGGGTTTAAAAAATGCTATGAAAACCTCAAGCAAAAGCTGTGATTATACTAAAATGCAATACATTGGACCAAATCTCCATAGTCATTTGCCAGTTCTATGAAAACAATGCATTTAAACTTTGAAACCAGTTTATTTATTGTCCGTATCACAAATTAAGAGGTAATTTGTAAAGTAAGATCGGAATTTAAAGAAAAAATGAACAAAAGCCACATATCACAGATTCAGCCTCCTCCTTCTTGCCTTGCCACTTGTCATTAAATCAAAACAATCAGCTGAATAACAACAGTTAAGGTTAGGTCTCTTTGATGCGTCTGACTGACTTGAATCGGATGTTGTTGCTGATTTCTCTGAGGTTCTTGTACTCCCCTGGCTTCAGGTACAGCATCCTACCCTCAAAGTTGGGCATCTCGAACATTAGCCAGTAGCCCTCCATCACATTGCACGACTGTAGGTCGGACATGCTGTAATTTTCCTGAATGGAGTCACAGTCATCAGTGAGCTCGTGCATCCGGCCTTCAAAATTAGCTTTTTCGTAGATCTGCATTTTGAAAGGTCCGGTGTGCTGTGAAGAGTAGTAGCCATCTCTTATTAGTAATAGCTAGAATTCACAGCTGTTTCTACTTTTCAAAATGTCCTAATATCAATTTGATTAAGATGAAAGTAGTATTTACCTGAGGGACGATTCGGCAGGACTGAATGCAGTCACTAAACCCAATTGTTTCCTGATACTCGGGGTATTCCCCTTTGTTGAGGAGGTACTGCAGTCCACTGAAGTTGGGTTGCTCATAGACCATAAAAATCCCACTCTCCACCTTGCAGGAGCTGCATTGCCTCAGGTGAGAAGTGATTTCTGAGCAATCGCCGATGCACTCATATGAGCGTCCCTTAAAGTTCCTCTCCTCGTAGAAAATAATCTGAGGAGAACGATATGAAGCTGAGTTTTCCGGTCACCCAAATAGAAAATACTTACATCTTTGATTTAAAGTAGAATCAGAGGTGAGCTTTTAGGAGAGTGTGGTGCAGTCAGTATAATCTGCACCCTATATTACCTTTCCACTCATGATTTCTGTTGTTTTTCTTTCTGGCGAACTGCCTTTTATGCATCATGTGACATGAAAGAATTTGGCTCTCGATTGTACTCAATAACTGAGTCAGCTCATCATGGAAATCCTGCTATGCTGTACAGCAAAGCTGTGGACGCTGCAGGCTTTCTGATTAAACTTTATGGAGGCATTGCAAAGTGAAATTCTTTGAAGTTTACATTTTTCTTTGGAAAAATATTTTTTTGTTATGTTTATTGAGAAAAAATAATACAGGATGAAGTATGTGCTCCCTTATGGCGTTTCTTCTCTTTCGGCTTTTTTGTCTCAGATAATGAAACATAACATCAAATAATGTAAAAATTATCCTTGCAAATAAAATCAAATGGGTAGCACTGCTTCCTTGCAGCAAGAAGGTTCCAGGTTTGATTCCCAGCTCGGGGTCTTTCTTCATGGAGTTTGCATGTTCTCCCTGTTGATGCATGGGTTCTCTCCAGGTACTCCGGCTTTCTCCCACAGTCCAAAATCCATTGGGTTCTCTAAATTCTCCTTAGGTGTGAGTGTGTGCTTGAATGATAGTTTATCCTGTTTGTTCCTGTCTTGTCCTGCAATAAACTGGCAACCTGTCCAGAGTGTACACCGCCTCTCGCCCATTGATTGCTGGAGATAGACACCAGCACCCCTCGCAACCCCAGCAGGGGTAAGCATGATGGAAAAATGGATGGATGGATTTCTCTACTTAGAAAATTCTAAATGTGTATAATGTAAGAGAAATGACGCTTCCTGATACATTTCTCTTTAACTAACCACAGCTAGAGCATATAGCACATAACAGGAATTCCCATCTATACCAAATTTAAGATCAGAGATGCCAAGCCATCTACATATTTTGGACTTTGAGACCCAAGTAGGAGCCTAATAACTGCTAGATCTACAGAATAAAGAAATCATTACAATAGAACCCATATGACAACTAAATATTACAGTAGGCGCAAAATATTACAGTATATCATGATTTAAGGAAAGTGAAGCCAACCAAAATTACTCCAATGCAGTATTAAAAGTTCATCCACGAGGTCACAAAAATCAAGAACAGTTACACAGTCACAACCTTAAAGGTGTAGTGGAGGATTTTTGCAATTTTTTTACAAGACCCACCCTCTCCCAAGAGTGAATGCTTATTAAACAAGCCCGTTTGTCCTCGTGCACGCTTTGTTTAAAAGTAATCTTCATTATGCAATCTTCATTTCCAAAAATAAATTTGTAATTTTTCCACTCTGTCAGACTCCGGTAAGTGAAAATGCGGACGAGCACGTAGGACAGCCTTACGTAAACATATCACCAGAATGATTGACAATTAGGAGGACCACTTATTTTGATGAAAGCATCGGAAAAAGAACATCCTCTTCTATACCTTTAAGTAAGAGAGTTAGCAAAAATTACTTTTATAGAAAAGTTCCCAGGCCAAAACCACTGGAGACCCAAACCAACAAAAAGACCCCAGCTCCAATTTGCCAAAGAAACATCCGGATGATGATCATGGTACCTCTGACCACCTTGACACCTGACTGGACACCTCAGTTTCAAACTTAGGTGATTTAATCTACAACAGGAAAGCATTAACCCTCCTACGTGACTCAAGCTAATGTTAACTATATGAACATTAGCTACTTACAACGAAACAAACAAAAACTTCTAGCACAAGAATGTCGCTTTCCAAAGATTCCAAACACACCAGCAAATCTCTCTCTAAGGTTTTTGAGTAAAGAAGTAAATGTCTGAACGTACAACACTTGTTGGTTTTAGCTACCACTAACAGTGGATCTTAATTTTTTTATTCTAAGACTTATTTGAAAAGAATGCAAAAAAAATAAAAACAATATTAATCAGTTTAAAGCGACCATACCATGCATTTGCATAATTTTCTTTGCTGTCGTACAGTATATGCCAACATAATAGAAAAATGGGGCTTTAGAAGTGGAAAAAGTGGTTTGGCCACTTCTGATACACAACTGTATTGTTTATGTGGAAAGGGATCAAATGGAATTGATAATGTTCAAACACATCAGGGCAAGGTAGGTAACCTTTTTTTGCCATTTCTAATATTAAACTACCAGCCTGTGGGTTTGTTATTGTTGGTCTATGTAGGCCCCCAAATAGTCACATTAGTCAAATGCAAAATAAACATGGCATTTCATTTTAAAACATCGTGCACATCAAGCTAACTGACGCGCCTGGTTTCCATCCTTTCTGTACTGTTTTATTCCATTTAAGTTTCCTTTATGAGTTTTCAATTACACTTTGATTTTTGGCATTCTGTTTTTTCTAGGTCATTGGTTTCATTTCCTTTTTGTGTCATTCTAGTTGTTTTCTGGTTATATTTGAGTTCTTGTGTATTTCTTGTTTACTCTCTGTTGCCCCCTAGTGCTAGTCTCCATTCCTCTAGCTTCCTTCTAGATCAGGGGTGTCAAACTGGTTCCAGAAAGGGCTGTGTGGCTGCAGGTTTTCTTTCCAATCAAGCAATAGCACACCAGACTCCTATCATCTCATCAAGTGAGTCCAATCTGAACATGACGACATTATGAAATGACTGGAGTCTGGTGTGCTATTGCTTGGTTGGAAATTAAACCTGCAGCCACTCGGCCCTTTCTGAAACCAGTTTGACACCCTGTTCTAGATCTTTCTGTCCACACCTGCTCCCAATTAGTTAATTACCCCATTCTTTTTTCGGTTTGGCATATATATACTCATTCTCTGCAGTACTATTTGCTGGATTCTCTTTATTCCATCCTTATTCCATTACACTTTGATTTTTGGCATTCTGTTTTTTCTAGGTCATTGGTTTCATTTCCATTTTGTGTCATTCTAGTTGTTTTCTGGTTATATTTGATTTCTTATGTATTTCTTGTTTACTCTCTGGTGCCTCCTTGTGCTAATTTCCATTCCCCTAGCTTCCTTCTAGATCCTTCTGTCCACACCTGCTCCCAATTAGTTAATTACTCCATTCTTTTTTCGGTTTGGCATATATATTTCTTCGCTGCAGTACTCTGTTGGATTCTCTTTATTCCATCCTTAACCTATATGTTCCAATATAATCTGGTTCCTGTGTCACTTGATTAGTTTCTGGATTTGTGTTTTTGTTGCCACCAATTGTTATTAAAGCTGCAAGAAACCACCCAAACTTGTGGCTCAGCATTTGGGCCGTCTACAAACCTCCATTCAACCTGACAGTTTAGAGAGAGATTAAATAATTGTATAACAAGGACATTACTGCAATATTTCAGTCACAGCTGCATTAGTTACAACATAGTAGCTGCACCTAGAGTAGTTTATTGTACTAAAAGGTTGAAACTCTTCCTATTTCATTGTTAGTTGCAACACTGAAACACGAAGATTGTACATTACAAAATAGTTGTAACTCTTATTGTTTACATACACTAGTCTCCCAAATATGAACAAAATATAAAAAACTGAATCAGAATAATATCTTATTTTTAGTCATTAATAATGAAAGATTTAACTGAAAAATATATTCCTTTAGATTACCGTATTGAAAGTAGGGTAACTTGCTTTTTAACTTTTTATAAAGTTTATTTAAATGTTAGAACTTCCCTATTCGTGTTTTTTATGTGTATAGGGGCTTGAAATACGTTAACTATGAATTTATGGAATTTATTTGTTGATCTTCAAGTACAGAAAAGATGCAGCAAAGAAACCTCAAAAACAACAATTTTATTTTCCTTCTATCATTAGTTTTATAATCGATGACATTTAACAAACATCCATGATCCTTCGGATGGAGCTGATTCTCATGATGTTGCTCATTCCCAGTTCACGGAGGTTCCTGTACTCTCCTGGCCTCACGTACATCATCCTTCCTCTGAAGTTGGTCTGCTCAAACATCAGCCAGTGGCCGTCCATCACGTTGCACGACTGGCAGTCGGACATGTAAAATCGATCTTGGAGAGACTCGCAGTCGTCCATCAGCTCATGCATCTGGCCTCCAAAGTTCTCTCTTTCATAGATCCTCATCCTGAACTGTCCCCTATGCTGTTAAACAAAAGCATTTTCTTGTAACAAAACCAGACAAGATGGAGGGTTCCTCCTTTAAAAGACAGTATTTTACCATAGGAATGATACGACAGGAGCGGATGGTATCCATCATGGCCATACCCATCATACCCATCATGTTTCCCATGTACTGAAAATCAGGGTACTCGCCCCTCCTCAGGAAGACCTGGTTACCCATGAAATTGGTGCGGTCATACACCACGAAGCACCCGTTCTCCACCCTGCAGGAGTTGCAGCGATTCAGGTGCACTTGGATGTCGGCGCAGTCGCTGCCGCACTCATGGGAGCGGCCCTGGAAGTTCCTCTCCTCGTAGAAAATGATCTGCAGGAAGGACACGGGAGAAAAAGCACAACGCTGCTTGGTTACGTTTTTGGGACAGATTTTTTCCTTAAAGTTAGCTCAAAAGTTTGCCATATTTTTCAAGAGCATGCAAACATACAACAAATCTAATAATACCTTGCCCATGGTGAGGGTTATTGGGTTTTTTCCAAATGTTGCCAAGTGCCGTAGCTTTTATATACACTGTCAGCTCCAGACCACCTAGCTCACCTTTGTTTGAAACATCATGACTCATCATGGGGTTCACGTGGCCTTGCATAGATTTTTTTTTTAACAGTACACCTCAATAATCATTATTCTGTTATTTTATAAAAAGCTTCAAAAGCTAAATCTAATATCATTTTACTGTAACAAACAGATGAATTCCAGTCACCTAGAGCTTTTTTTGCTTTCACTAGTACAACAGCATTAATGTTCATCCTTGAATCCTTTACATCCTTCATAAAAAGATAAATAGATAACAGAAGTTGCCAGAAGCAGTCAGAAAATCTCATATTGAAGTGAGAATAAATGAATAAATGCAGATTTTGATGTACACTAAAGTCTGCCACCCTATAGTGCAGCTCTGTGCCACAATATAGAGTGATGACTCAAAGGTTTCAGCACAAGCCATGTGGAAATGCTACGGGTGTGCAATGTATAAAAAGGGAAAAGGGGTCGATGCTGGCGCTGTGCATCTCACAATTTGCTCACAGTTATCATGACTATGGGGAGGGTAGGTGAAGTTTTCCAAGCATTGAGATCCATTGAAAGTCTACTTCTGAGCAGTTAGCTAATAATCTCTCTGTGTGATTTTTTTTTTTTGTAGATTGTATTCTATGAAGAAAGAAACTTCCAGGGTCGCTCCTATGAGACCAGCAGCGACTGCCCGGAGCTCACCTCCTACCTGAGCAGATGTAACTCCTGCAGGGTGGAGAGCGGCCTCTTCATGGTCTACGAGAAACCCAATTTCATGGGCCACCAGATCCTGGTAAGGAGGGGAGAGTACCCCGACAACCAGAGGCTGATGGGAATGAGCACAAGTGACTGCATCCGATCCTGCCGCACCATCCCCGTGGTAAGTACAGGGCACATAAAAGCTCAAATTTTAAAGTTCTCTTTTAACACATTCCACCTAGAGATGATCGTCTGATTTGTTTTGTCCAGTTTTTAAGGAAGGCTGAAAGAGTTTTTACCACAATATTCACATCATTTCTGCACTAAGCTCAATTATATTACATTTGACCAAAACTTATGCAAATGCAAAGTTTGTTTATCCTCTTAGTACATTAGTTCTGCAGCTGCAATTCATAGATTTCAGCTTTTAATTTTAGAGTAATTTCTCCCTCTGCAGCACCGAGGTCCCTTCAGAATGAGGCTTTATGAGAGAGAGAACTTCGCAGGCCAAATGCACGAGCTGGCGGACGACTGCGACAACATGATGGACCGCTTCCGCATGTCCGAATGCCAGTCCTGCAACGTCATGGATGGCCACTGGCTGATGTTCGAGCAGCCCAACTACAGGGGCAGGATGTTGTACCTGAAGCCAGGAGAGTACAGGAACCTGCTGGAGATGGGGATGAGCAGCACCACCAGGTTCAGCTCCATCCGGCGAATTATGGACGCCAGTTAGATCAGGAGTCTTAAATGTGACTGGTGGAAAATGTACAAAAAATTATAATAAAGTCAACTGCAATGGAGTTTTTGTTTATGCCTGCTTTTTATTCTGACCTAAAATAGAGATTTTTTCCACTGTGTGCGATTTACAGGAACTCGTTTTTTTAAAATGAAGCCCCGTGTCAGAAAAAATGCTTCTTAAATTCTGTAAAATAAATGGAAGTACAAAAAAACATTAAAATAAATATTACTAGCTAGTACTAGGAAAAGAACAAAAGAAAAAACAGAGATTCGATAAAACAACTAAAGCTGCAGTTGGTCTTTAGGTCTAAAGACTAATTAAAAAAACATCTTGTTTAAATTAGATCTGTTCACATAGACAGCAAATCCAGTTCAATCATGAATCAGATTCCGGGCTATACTATGTATTAGTTCATTTGGTCATTATCCAGCCTTATCAAAATAATACAAAATGTTATTAGATTAAGGACACAGCACTCATTCCATTCCAAAATCTTTGCCACATGCATATTGAAGATGGCTCTGACAGAGGAACTGTCCTAATTAGATGAACTACTTGGGAAAATATTAGTTTAACTCATGACAGGCAGGCATTATTAGGGCTTAACAGACTCACACATCATCAATTATAAATAAGAATAATCCAAGTCACTGATTTTGTTGCAATAACCAGTCCATCCGATTGGAGTTTATCATGTAAAACCTCTATTTTTGATATTTGTCTGTGTTCAAGCTAGGTGGGTCGAACTTAAAAATAAAGCAGAATCCCAAAAGGAATTGTTGCAAAATGTTTTTTAACTAAGGAACAAGTCATGTACATTTGAAATCAGAATTATTTATACTCTAATCCTGAATAAGATTCAGTTTCCTTTAACTTAGTTATGTAAGAAAATTTGAAAAAGCATCTTATTTAAAGATAATATAAATTTATAAATTTAAAGATAGTATAATGCAAAAGCATCAATTTCATCGCATTTGATATAAAACTTAATAGAAAGAATTGAATAGTTAAAGGTATAGTGGGGGATTTTCACCACTTTTGGAAGAGACCGGCCCTCTCCACTTTAAAAAAAAAATGCACATGCACAACCGTGTACCAGCTCCAGAGAGGGAACGCCTATTAAACACAAGCAAGAGCCCATTTCTCCTCTTTCCTTACGAAAGCCTTACGTAAACATATCACCAGAATGGTTAAAAAGTAGGAGGACTTATTTCGATGATCCACCCGGTAAAAGAACATCCTCCACTATACCTTTAAGGAAAAATATTCTCATTACACCATAAAAATGAAAAAACAAATCCCCACCTTCTAATACTGACAAAGGTTGCCATTGTTCGCTGGATGGTTTATCTTTGTTGATGAGCTCCCAATGTTTGATGCCGCAAAGCTTCTTTTCCATCACATTCAAGTCAGGGCGTTGGATGTATAATATTTACAGCTTCTACATTTTTTCTGTTTGGAAATCTACCAGGTCACTGTTCGGATAGGGAATCCATGATATCACTTTCCAGGGTATTCTTACAAATTATGCTCACTCAGTACATTAAGAAACACACACAACCAGACTGATAAACAATTTTTTCAGGGTATGGTGTAGATCCAGAATATATCAGAGCGACAGTAAATACTTTTAACATTCAGTTGATATGTTATATGAAAAAACAGAAATATTTAACAGTTAGCCATGCTGGTTGGAGCTGACGCTGATCCTTTAGTGTTCCAGCATGTGTTTTGATTGAGACTCATTATCAAGCTGGAACAGAGGCAAATCAAATGACACCAAGCTGTTTCTGCTGATATGCAAATCTAGCTCATTTGGGTATCAAAGATTTTTGCCATGCTCTGCAGATTTTCTTTATGGATAAATACTTTGATCGGGCTGCAGCAAAGAATCAGGTTTACCGGGCATCCAAATGGGGAAGGTAAGATCAAATCTACAGCAGCTTAAAAAAAAAATATATATATATATATATATATTGTTTTCCCACTCTGACAGATCACTTTTTATGAGGAGAAGAAATTCCAGGGTCGCTGCTACAACTGCAGCAGCGACTGTGCAGACCTGCACACTCACTTCAGCCGCTGCAACTCCATCCGGGTGGAGAGCGGCGTTTGGGTGATTTATGAAAGGCCCGGCTACAAAGGTTTCCAGTACATCCTCAGCCCAGGGGAGTATGCTGACAACCAGCAGTGGATGGCCTTCAGTGACAGCGTCAAAGCCTGCCGTGCTGTGAAGAACGTGAGAGTGTGGATCACAAATTTAAAATCCTTGCAAAAAAAAATTTGTATTTAGACCTTTAGCTTCTTTATTTTTTTTGTTTATGGAGAATGTAAATTAACATTATTATTCTAATAACTATGTATTCATTGTTGCAATGCTATCTGCAGACACAATATCAGCAGCAAGGCTAATAATTATTATTTAAAAGTATAATTTATTATTATCCTAGGAATTACTCTCTTTCCTGCATTTGTTTTTTAGATTTACGGTAGTTCCTGGAAGCTGAGACTCTATGAGAGACCTGATTTTGAAGGGCAGGTGGTAGACTGCACCGATGACGACCCCTCAGCATATGACACCCACAAGATGCGCGAGGCCTACTCCTGCGTGGTGACAGATGGCGCCTGGGTGCTATACGACCTCCCAAACTACAGAGGGCACCAGTACCTGCTGGAGAGAGGAGAATACCGGCAGCACAGCGACTGGGGGGCATCTTCGCCTGGTATCGGCTCCTTCCGCAGGATCACAGAGTTTTAATCCCCATGGAAAGTACTTTTAAATTTCTGCGCAACCAATAAATTTAAAGCAAAGCCTGACTTGTGTCTTCATAGAGTTTAGGGAAATGTCTTGTGGGCTATTACATTTTAAACAAAATAAAAACTAATTAATGGGTCATATTTGAAAAATTTATTTAGGACTTAAATTGTTTTGGACGTCATAAAAAGGAAAATTTATCAATAAAAGTGACATTTAAGTCAGTGTGCGAACAGCTCATTACAGCCTCTTTTGGCCGTGCAACAGGCTCATTATTATAGGGTTTTGGTCCAATGTATCTTCATCTCTTCGTTGTTTGAATAAGCATTGGTATCCATTGTTTACTGCTATAAAGTTAAAGAGGCTCTCCCATGTTACATCACTCCCTATGTCCATTTTATTTATGAAAGTAAAATTGAATGATTAAAAAATAATCCAAACAGCCTAAAAAGTTTATATATGGCATTTTGATTCAAAAAACATTTTAAATACTGATAAAAGTGAGGCTCTATTCTGCAGTCTGTGTGTTAAGGTTATTTACAGTGTTCTGGTCAGAAGTTTACATGCATTTATTTTAACAAAAAAATAAACTTAAATAAAATGTATTAATCTGTGGAGTTAAAACTTCACAGCTTAGAATAAAAAAATTGCTTTCATGTCTTTTAATAGATTATTCTGTTCTGGTCACAAGTTTACATGCAGTCATCCACATGGATGCCATGAAACTTTGACTGACTTTGAACCTATAGTTTATAAAAGATTAATAAACTTTAAGTCAATGCTGATCAATAATCTTCTAATTAGCCTGTTTCATCTTGCTTTAGATAAGTTCTCATGTTTATTTAGAATTTATTCAAGTGTCTAGTTAGTCTTTCCTAACTAGTCTTGCCTGCAAGCTGAAATCTCACGGTATTGTGCATTCATACAAGAATCCTTCTTGCACTGCTTCCCTTTCGACCAAAGCAGCAGGAGCGGGACAAGTTCAGTATTGTGTTTTAAGATGGGACATATAGCTGTGACAATAAGAAGAGCCGCTGAACCCACAGCTGAAACCAACATAAACATGGCAGTGCAGAAGGAAGGGCACATAGCCGCTGCTAACACATCTGCTTTCCAGAATCCAAAATTGAATCTTTGAAAGCACATTACGAAACAACAAGTAAGGCATGGTATCTGCTGAAATTAATTTATCAACATGTTTTGCAAAAACCAAGCTTTTGTAGATTGGCATTAGTGTCAGGATTTGGTTGAGATTTGGGGACCCAAATGCAGAGGCAGAGATGAGTTTTTTGTAGATTTAATGAGAGGTAAACAAACGACTGAAGCAGGAATCCAAAAATCCCAAAAAATCCAACTCTAAAAAAGTTAAACAAACCAGAAACCATGGAGGCATCAGGGGAAAACAATCATGACGTGGTAAGACACTGTAAGACAGTTTAGGTCGAAGTTAGAGGAACCAGCACTAAGGAACTGTATAAGGAGTGTTTTTATGTGAGACTGAACAAAGAGAGGGCTAACGAGCAGACTGGGAGCAGGTGTGAACAGAGCAGACAGGAAAGGAGCTAGGGAAAAAGGAGAACACAAGAGGGTAGCAGAGGGCAACAAATAAAAACCTGAAAACTGAAAAATAACCAGAGAACACAACAAAATAAGAATTAAACCACTAAAACTAGAAAACATGGAGCAAAGTAAAACTGAATACTCAAAAGAAAACATAACAGAACCAAGACTGGAGGATTATGCTAAATACTCCACCTTTCCCTAAACAAAACCTAACTACTACACATTATTAATCTAGCTTTCCAGGTTATATTCCATCATTATCATCCTGCTAAATTTATGCAATGTACTTGCCCCTCTCACAGCAAAAAAAAAAAAAAAAGCATGTTGCTGCCACCACTGAGCTTAATAGCTGGTGCAACACTTGTAGGTTCAAAAGCCTTCCTTTGGCTGAAAAACTAAACTGGTTTTACCATAAGACTTGATAGTGTGTTTTTTTGTAGAGCACCTTACTTGAAAGTATAAAAAATAATAATACTGCAGACATTTAGTTCCTACAGTCATCCTAGACATCAACAACAATAATAATAATTTTAATATTTTTTCTCATAAAACCCTTTAAATCAGATCTCAAAGTCCTACAAAGAAACGATTAAAACTGATAAAAGCAGATATACAGTGAAACAACAATAACACAAAATAAAATCATATACCGTAAAATATAATTGATAGGCTTTAGTGAATAAGAATGTTTTGTTCTGGGGCTGCTGAGGATTGGTATAGGTGGATCAGAGGGTTCTGTATCTTCCGGGCTACTAGAAGAGTTCTTTAAGATATGTTGGTGCATTGCCATGAACAGTCGGAAATATGAGGAGAGGGCTTAGAATGTGGCACTCATGAAAGCTTTTTGTCTGGTCAGAGAGGACTAATCTAATGCTTTTTGCCTTCTTTGAAAAATACATAAATTATATGGAATACACAACAGGGGGAATTTAAGCGGAGGTGGAGGATGACCCTAACCTGGCCACCCTACAGTGAACGGGTTTAGATCAATCACCCTAGTAAGATCCAGACGTAAATCTGTTGGAAATGTTCAATTTGCACCACATTCTAGAGGGCAGTTATGATAAAAAGATAAACCTCCTATTTGCTTTTTATAAGTAAAACAAAGTAACCTTAAAAGCTTGATGCTGGGTAATGCCGGGGCGATCCAGGATCTGTAAATTCTCTGGTGCCTTCCTACCTTCCTGCTAGGTCACTGACTCAGCTCTAGACGCTTCACTACAGCCCAAATGCCCTGCGGTGCCCTTGTTTTTGTCAGCATGCTCTGTTGCATCCAGAGGCTTTGGGATGCTTTGCATTTGCTTTGTTCAGGAAAAGGGAGTCACTGCTTCAGAACAATGTGAGCAGCCTGGATCAATTTTTGAATCGCTGATGAAAAATCCAGCTCACACAAAGCAAACCATGTGCCTTGCTTCATTGTTCTAGTTCTGTATAAAGAGAATAACGGATGTAGCAGGTGGAATATTTTATTTAACATCAAGCTGATTGATATGAACAATGGAAAAGGTAAAGCATGATAATCTAATAAATGCATGGATGTTAGAGTCACAAGCCTAATCCAATGCCTCTGTTATAGATTATCTTCTACGAGGACAGAAACTTCCAGGGTCGATATCATGAGAGCAGCAATGACTTCAGCGATCTGCACACATACGTCAGCCGCTGCAACTCCATCAAAGTCCTGGGAGGATTCTGGGTGGTGTATGAGAAACCAAACTTCATGGGCCACCAGTATGTGCTGAGCCCAGGGGAGTATCCGGAACACCAGTACTGGCTGGGCATCAACGATGCAGTCAGGTCTTGTCGAGTGCTTAGGCATGTAAGTTCCCCAAGCCCATCAGTGCCCAAGCTACTATCCTACAACTCTTAAATGCATTCATTCTCTAACACACCATGTCTTGAAGAAAGGATGTTTTTAAAAGTTGCAGGATGGTAACTGGAATTAAACATTTCAGGCATCTGACTTTGAATTCCACTTTTCCTGCATTCTACAGTGGGTTTTTTTTTCTTCTTTATCCTGCCAAGGTGGGGAATGAATGGAGGATGAAGATTTGGGAGAAGCCAAACTTCGAGGGCGAGTCTGTGGAGCTCTCAGACAACATGCCCACCTTTAGCGAGCGATGGCAGAGCCGCGATGTTCAGTCATGCAAAGTGTTTGAGGGGGCTTGGATTTTCTATGAGCAGCCCCACTACAGGGGGCGCCAGTACCTACTGGAGAAGGGAGAATACAGACGGTACTCTGAGTGGGGGGGCAGGCAGCCCAATGTGGGCTCTGTGCGTCGGGTGAAGAGCTAAAATCATGGGAATCTTGGTAATAAAGAAATAATGAAAATTCTATTATTTTTTTTTTGTCATTTATTCACACTGTTATCAACAATCCTTAGTTTTATTATAAAGAAAATATCATCCAATCAGAATGGGTTATTTCTAAACAATATAGAGAAAATTAATTCTTAAACTTCCAGTTTAAGCCTTTGTCTTTAGAAGTCTTCAAATGTCTCTGCTATTAAAAAGAAAAACAAAAGAACTTGTCCCCTCTTTTTTCTTTTTACCTTTTTACACTTTTATTTCAAATAAGATAAACAAAAGAAAACCTGTGCATATATACCAAAAATACATTTTAAACCATGTTTAATCTATCAAAGGAAAGGGCTGTCAAATTGAACCTGGCCATACCTATGTGCTCCCCAACAGCTGCCATCAAAAGTTTAAATCTTTGGCCTTAGTGTGAGGAAATTCCACGGTGATTTATTCAAAATTGTCTTACTTTAGGTAAACAGGACCTTTATACAGTCATTCCTCTATTTAAAACCAGATGTTGAGTTCTCTTAGTTTAATTGAATTAATCTGTTTATTTTTAGTAAATAAGAGGGGAACTCGGTAGACATTTTCAGAACTACTGGCTCCATAAAACACAGTGTTCCTAAAAACACAATAATGGATGCAATATTTACACTACAAAACATGTAAATCTAAGTAAGTTAATTTTTCTTAAAATAAGTGATTTTTTTCTTGAATTAAGCAGGCGAGTAAGGCTCTTTGCCAATGGAATAAGACAATTTACATTTGAAATAAGTAAAACCAAGTCCATTGTCTTATTTTGAGTCAATAATATCTAATCATCTTATTTTAATGGTAAAAATACTAATTCCATTGGCAGATCATGTTATTTACCTATTCAAATTAGGGGTGGATAGATTTAATTTGAGAAACTTCAACTTATTTTTAGATAGTTTTTTGCTGTGTAACCCATACTTTTCATGTTGAATTATCTACTCTTAACTTAACTGGGACGAATAAAGTTCCCAGTACTTCAGATGTCATCCTTACTTCTTCTGTGACTGTATTTGTCATGAACCAAGGACAGATGGACCCAGTATTCAGGAGAGACAGTCAGTAGGAAAGTTCAAAAGGTTTATTAAAATAAAAACAAAACAAAA